TATTTACAAATCGGCAAACGCTCGTGTATGAATCCGGCCAAACGCTTGTGTTTATTTTCAGAAGTAACCACTCATTTAGATCTGAGTACGAGTTTACGCATGAAGCTGAAAACTAGTCAGCCTGTCAGGGCGGCTTGCCACTCGTCTCTCAGCGAGCTCTGCTCTGTGTAATTACGTGAGAAGAAAGACACATAGACCTCCCCTTCACATTCCCTGGTCTAATTTGTTTGCCGGGTGACAGCAATACATCTGGAATTGTGGATGCTTATGTTGCTTTTTCTTAATGGGATGGTTTTTGAATCTAACTGTCCCTTGAAAGATGGATGCTTATGAGTTTGTGTAGCTTGGCAATACGATAAATAACCTTTCCGAAGTGTCGCAGGGTTTGAGGTTTCGCGAGTCTGCCAAGTATGGATGAATGGCAAAGTAAACAATATAACTATGCAGGACTTGCCACAATGAAATTGAGCGTTCCTGCCCTCACATCAAAAGACTTTTGCTTTTTTCTTGTGCTGTTTATAATGTTAAATAATTGGTTGGAATGCAGTTATCTCTTTAACTACTGTTTAACTGATGTTTTAGTATATTGTGCTTGTCAAAAAGCACAGATTACTCTGGAATCCTTTGATGAGATGATATAAGAAAATGTTTATGTGGTGTGCGCGTACTACGAACTGATCCAAACCTCAATCCAAACCATTACATTTCCTTTGTTCAAGAGGATGAAGCATTACAGCTTGTAAAACACATTTAAAATCTGCAACCTCTTTTTTTTCCAGTCAAAGAGGGTTTGGTTACATACATTGTGTGATTTCTGCTTGTTTTCACCCCACAAGTCCATCCCTCAAGTCTCGAAACTAGTAAAATAGTCTCATCCTGAAAGTGGCAGAATGCTAAAATGGCAGCCGGCAAATTGAAGTCAAGGTATTTTCGTCTGCTAGTATAAGAGAGGCTGTCAGCTGATGGAGTGTGTGTATGTCTGAAGCCAAGGAAAAGTAAATGGGGGTGGAAGTGGCTGGTGTCTGTTGAAGGGAAGCACGAGTGTTTGTTCCCGATGGCAGGCATCAGAGTGTGAATATGACCTCTGGTGGAAAAAAAAGTGGGCGAGAAAAAGAAAAGGCAACGGCTGCTGAGATCAACCTCTACTTTCAGGCACTCTGGACTACTGTTATTTCGTACCACTTTGAAATGGGCTGTTTCAGGCGGTATCCTTTCCTCAGACACAAGGAAGAACACGTTTTTTTAAAATAAGTAGTGAAATAAATCCTGTCTATCTCTGAAATGGTGTGAAAGATTATGCTTAATTTCTCCATGCTGTTTTTACTGCTCGATAACTTGCCGAACCTCATACCCGGGAATATTTGCTTTGAATGTTTTTCTTTTTTCTGTCTCCCTTCCGCTTGTCTGCTGATCCCTGGTGAATGCATTAAATGAAGTTACTAGATATGAGTGCTTAAGGGGCCAGGGCCTCCCAGGCTTGCCAAGGCGCTCAGAAGCTTGGCTCACTCAACCATGTCATCTTTTCTTTCTCGTCGTCTTTTTTTTTTTCAGCTACTGGCTGACTTGTTAGTATGGCAGGGCATTTTAAGTTTTCAAATACCTTCATTGAAAGACAATCAGGCAAGAGGAAGCATAATAAATCATTCATGTACATCTAATTCTTTTGTTCAAATTCATCAAATCAGTATGGAGGAATCTTTATTGGTTACAATGAAGGACTTTTAAATCTTTCCCTCCTTTTAATCGCCAAATATAATATGTTTAGCATATTATCTAGCTATTAATTCCTAAAGGAAGAGTTAAGCTCAATTTACAGCATTCTGTGGATTGTTTTTTTTTTTTTAATTTTTTTAAATTTACCAATACTTAAATGGTTGATTTAGAGTTAGAGCAACACATTTCAATTGTGTATAACTTTACTCCAAAAAGTTTGAGTGATTTTGTTAATACAAATATAGTTTACATTTTGTTGCTATACTATTAAAGGGATACTCCACTTTTTTGGAAATAGGCTCATTTTACAACTCCCCCAGAGTTAAACAGTTGAGTTTTACCGTTTTCGAATCCATTCAGCCGATTTTCTGATTTTTAGGAAAATATCAATAACCAGACAGTTTCTGGTCTCATTGACTTCCATAGTAGGAAAAATATACTGTATATACTATGGAAGTCAATGAGACCAGAAACTGTCTGGTTACTGATATTCTTCTAAAAATCAGAAAATCGGCTGAATTGATTCGAAAACGGTAAAACTCGACTGGTTAACTCTGGGGGAGTTGTAAAAGTGGAGAAACCCTTTAAAAGAGAGAGTATTTTAGTGTTTATAGATTGACCCAATCATTTCTGTTGTATGTGGTTCACTGCAACCTTTTTTTTTTAAGAAAAGAAAGTACAAGTCAAAATACATTTTTTATGCCACAAACGCTGTAGATTGAGTTTACCTCGTTTTGAACCTGGAATATTCCTTGGATTCTTGTCATCTCAAGCTAAAGCCTTCAATAATACAGTGGTGTGAAGGGGTCAGGGTACAGTAGCTGAGGCATTGTGATGGCTATCGAATGCAGGGAAGAACTGAATAGACACAGTCAGCTTCCCAGATACATGCTTAGGCCTGTAGAATGCAGAATGCTTTGCTTGTAACTGCACCGGTTGTCTCCTTTCATTATCGGTTAATGGTGCCCAACTTGACAGGGCCATGTGATAAACAGAGGAGCTGTGAAATCCTGGAGGTGGATTTCTCGTCTGCCTGATAATGGGATCTCATCTGCTGTTGCGAATGCCTGCGGAACAACCATCTGAGTGCATGAAATGCAAAGCATTCACAATTTTGGTTCCCTTTTCAGTCTCATAAAGCGACTCAGAACGGCTTACATTTCTTCCGAACGCCTGGCTTGTTTTCCGCGCTGCTCGATTCTGTCAGAATGCTGAGCACTTTACAGCACGCATTAGTTGAGAATTTATTAGAGCCATCAGGGTGGTTTATATTATGTTACTGAGTGCATTTTGTGAAATACCAGTCGAATGCGTACATGCATATTTGCTTTACCATGCCGATCATGAATGTCAATCATCCAGATGAAATGTTTGTTTGCACATAACATTACGATGATTTAATATTCCTCGAACGAACAAGATCCGTACATTGTTCTGGCTTTCCCCGCACGGCTCTCAAACACGCACCTTCCGTCGTGATTCATTTCTGAGCACTAATTAACTGTGTGCCACCATGTCAAATTCATTGTTGTGTATTTTTCTCATGAGCCAGTAGCTAATCTCCCATTGGCTGATAGCAGTGATTGGTATCTTTTTGAAAACTGCATTCTCTAAATATCTTCCCTGTGCACAGTGAGGATCTCGCATAAGCAAGTGACTCAGGTTTCCTGTTGGGCACATTGTAAGTGCTATCAGGGCGGCTCGGGGAGATAAATATGGATGCACTTGAGTAAATGTAATAAATACGCCTGAATGTGAAGCTCAAACGCTTTCCAAGAGGGGAGGAGGTAGCCTGCTGGGGTGTGAGGGAGTGTGTGTGTGTGTAAGTGTGTACGTGTGGGTGCATGGCAGAGCTAAGGATTGTCAGGAGAAACAGAAGTCACACTGTCTCTGGCTCCCCTGGAGCTGGAAAGCGTTTGCCAGCAATGGGATCACTAGGGACACCTCCTCCTTTTGAAAACCTGACAGGCTACATGGTTTGCAGCACAATAAAGGGCCTGCAGTACACCAAACTCACTTCCTATTGATCTTAGCTGCCTCCGCAAATATAATGCTGGTGGAGAGAAAAGTATTCTTATTGTTTTGTGTGTGTGTGTGTGTTTGTTGGTTTATTAGATTGTGAGATATTCTACAACATAAAACATGTCATTAGTATCTGCTATGAACATCTGTACAATTTCTAAATTAAAGGCCATTTTATTCATTTGTTTTGTGGAGGCCTAAAGTCAAACATGTCTTGTTGGTGTTACTGCTCAGATTTAAGAGTTTGAGAGAGGGTAAAAAAGTGGGTGAAAAAATATGCAGGAAGTTACTTTTCTGCCCTGCGATAAGAAAACAGTGAACTGTTTTAGACCCTCATGAATGTGATTATATTATTTTACATTTATTTATATGCATTTAATTTATGCATTTAAACAAGGTTGCTATTTTTACATCACATTGACATTTTCTAATAAAAGGAGCTTTTTATATTCTTTTTGTGGATGCTTATGTTGCTTTTTCGTAATGTGATGGTTTTTTAATGAAAGCTTATTCCATTATACATTCAAAGTGTAAGGAAAATACTTGATCAGACCACTTGACATTTTCAGAATCGTTAAATAAAATCTTCTAGAAAGTGGAATACATGGATTTTTGAATGTTTGAAATCTCTAGCATCCTTTTAGCAATTCTGCTATAACAACTGGATTCTGCATGAAACAAAATCAGCAACAAAGAATGCACGTTTCTTTTTAAATGCACTATTGTGAATACATCCTGCTTCCACGTTGGGCGGAGGGAATCGGAGTAATTAATTCATTATGTGAATATGCAAATGAGTATGAGAGCACCAACGCACAATGTATGTGTAATTTTCACTGGTTGTTTTGTTCTCAGTCCCAATCATTTGGCAGCGAAGCACGGCAATAAAAACGGGGCGTTCATTATTGGACAGTGGACACTGAAAATCAATAGCCGGAATCTGTGGCTTATTTGAACGGTAGGATTGGTGTGTGTTTTCTTTGATTACCGGTATCTAGACTATTTGTTGTTATTATTAGTGCTACAGAAGGTGGAGTCGTCAGCATGGACATTAATATTCCTTACAGCCGCCGTGTGAATCAGGATTGAACGTCTTGCTTACCGATGCAGTTTCTCTACCGTACCCCACGGTTTAAGATCAATCACGACTCCCGTCCGATCATATGTCGACGCTAATCATAGGAATCCAGTCCGTGTTTTTGTTTTGCTTGCTTTTTAGAAGTGGTGTGTGTGTGTGTGTGTGTGTGGTGGAGGAGGGGAAGGGGGGTAATTCTCCTTCACTAGTGTCTGGATAAAGAAAGACTAGGTCAGCCATGTGGATGCGTCTGTTGAACAGCTGAAGAGGAGGAGGAGGGGGTTCTACAGAAAGAGAGTGAGATAGAAAGAGCGAACGTGCTGTGTGTGCATATGAAAGAAAGCGCGAGGAGAGAGCGAGGGAGCGCGTGAGTGTGAGCGCGCGCGTGTGTGAAAAAGGAAGCGGAGTCTGTAAACGCCGAACTCACTGATTTCCTACCCTCCACAAACTCAAGCTTTTGGAGTTATTACACAGCGAAAAGGAGGAGGGGGGACCGCATACGTTCAGAAAACGAGTCCCCGGGCGGTCCGAATGCGAATAAATTAGTAAAGCGAGGTCGTCTTTTGTTGAGGCATTTGCCCCGTTTCTCCTCTGTATGGACAGCGGCTTTCTCAGGATAAAGTATCTACGTGATAGTGCTCAGCCCTCGGCTTCTTGGATTTTGGCCCAGGCCGAGAAGCTCGGCTGGGTCATTTTCAACGAACAGTCGTGGAATTGTGTTTGAAGTTGTTTGCAGCAGCCCAATAGGAACTTAGATCATAATACTGGCGGGTGAGTAGTGCCTTGGCGACATTGGCTATGTACAAAAAGAAAGAAGACAGAGGGAGTTTAGAGGTCTTGAGTGGGTGGGAAGGTACATGGGGGGATAGAGATGGAATGTTGGCAATTGCTACAGGCTCAGAAGTTGAAAGCAGCAGCAGCCTGTTTTTTTTTTATTGCATGTTTCACTTTTGCTCTCGCTGTTGAAAGAGACAAGCAGTGTGTAATCATTTTAGGATGTTTTATGACTTTCTAGTAAGTAGTCTATCAAGTTCCAGCCTTCTTCTGTGTAGTTCTTCTGTTTGTTTCCATTTTATTAAGTGATGAACTCAAGCATTAAGTGAATTATTAATGCTCTGGTAGCAGCATAAATGGTGCATTTAAAGTTGGAGGTGCTGAGGAATGAGGATCTTCAATACATTAAGCATGCTGCTTATCTCAGTGTTTAGTATTATCAAACACCATCACTACAGTGTGTTTTCTATGACCCCAACCCTGTGCTTTCCTTCACATGTCCTTTTGTTTACTGAAAACCCTGAGAGCAGGGGAGGAGAGCTTTTGGTAGACCTGCCTGACTAGTTGGAGTCTACTGTGGGACAGCCAAGTCTGCCTAACTTCCCTTTGTTAAATTGAAACTCATGAACCATGACCTGTCATGGGAACAAATATGGTCCTCCCAAGCTCATAGTGATGTGTTGTTGGTGAAGGAACAACGGTTCTAAGAGATTTTCACAGCAATGCCATAGAAGAACAATTCGGGTTCCCCAAATAATCTTTCAGTAATCAGTTTTTAAAAGAACCTTTTTTCGCCTTTGGTGTGATGATCTAAAAACCTTTTCCTATTATGAAGAAAGTTTTGAACAATGGAAAGTTTCTATGGATATTTAATGTTCTTTATGGGACTGCCATAGATGTCAAGGATCTTTTATTTTTAGGAGTTGAGGTTGAAAAGTCACAGCTTGCCTTATCTGATCTCGTTCTCCATGCTGTGCATGTGGTGGTAGCAAATTGTATATCCTCTTTGGAGTATTGGTTATACTTGAAAGGGCATGTGACTGTTCAGTTCCTAAGGTTAGCTAGCTATAAAGGATCCATGCTACTTTTTTCTCACTTTGCATATGTAAGAGATGTAGCTATGTGTGCTAAGAAGGGCCCACTCTTTTGTGGCCAGAAGTAATCATCCCCCACACTGGGATGTTTTTCCTCCCCAGTTGTGCAGAAACATTGTAATTGGTGTATTTAAAGCTTCGAGGTGGTCAATCACAATGTACGAGTAGTTTTGTTGCTTACTCAAAATTAGAAATCCAACATCAGAGACTCGTGGTCCAAAAACACAAAGATTAGGATTAAATATTGCGAAAAGATGGAATTGACCAGTCTGGAGACACATAGACATCAGTAATCTGTAATCATAACAACTATGTACAGAGTATCTGTCCTAATCCTTTGGTTCATAGAAAATGGAGAGCGAGAGAGAGAAGAAAAGCTTTTATAAACCCCCGTTACACATGCCATGGCTTTGAGGGTAGCCTGAGGTGAAAGAAATCAAACATTTAGTGAAGCGTCTCCTGCAGAGGAACTAAAGACTACATCAAGGAACAGAATGTTTTCATTGTCTTTTGTTACACTCAGGGAAACCTGTTTGAGCTAGATCACTTTAAAATGCATGGATGGCAAGTTTAATATTTGAAAGCAGCCTGTATGTTTGTAGCACTCGTCCGCCCTTTTTTGAAGTGTTGAGTTTTGAATACTGCTAATTAGGTGGCATTATGTGATTCCTCCTTGTGATCTCTAGTAATGAGTGTGTTTACACACAGGTTCTTAACTAGGGATGCTCGTAATTAACTGGTTAAACCGACACTATGAATATTGAGTTGACCGATTAATAACATTGGTTAAACGGCTTAAAAAGTAGGTTCTTAATTAGGCTTATTTTTTCCAAGATATGTTGAAAACTTTTGGTGCATGGTTAAAAATAGGCTACATGTATAAAATTGAGTTTTTGAGAGAAAGAATGGATGGCCCATGCTGAATGGCACAGATTGTACTACAGGCACTTTAAATTGTGTGTCAAGGTAGCAATGCTAGAACTGATTGGTTGTGTGTGTGCACATCTGCGCAATCACTTGAATTGTTTCCTTAACAGTGGAAACAACTTAAAATACTCTCATTTACGGTCATACAGAAGAGCAAGACATCATTCAAAACTATAACGTTACTTTAATTTGTGCACACCCACAATAAAATCAAAACATTGTGGTTTTTTTTTGTAAAACAAAGAAAACAAACAAGATGGCGCTTTCTGCTTTCTCGGTTTCGTATCTGTGATCTTGTATTCGGGACCGAAACGCAGCATATAGGCTAATACTTGTCGCAGTTTATTTTCTTTCATTTTGTTAATCTGTAAACTGTTTTAAGTGAAATATTTGGCATATTTATTCCTTTTATAAATATGAATTTATTCTATTTTCCTTTATGCTCCCATTTGCGCATGTAAAGCTTAACTCCTGGAAAACAATTTGTGGGTCACACAATTATTTTTAATGGGTCACAGACACTACGGGTTAGCGGAAAACCCAAAATGAACATCAAAATTTTGTTAAATAATGCATCTGGTTATGTCACAAATGTCATAAACTGATTGTCACACAGCTAGATTTTTGGCCCTGTCCTCGATTTCACCCCATTTACACATTACATATTAAAGTGCGCATATGTGATGCAACAAGGGGTCCTTACTACGGATGCAAGCGCATCCAGACAGAGCAACTATTTTGTGGTAGGGGAGAAAGAAATATATAGCAAACTCAGACTCTTTCTGCTTGTACTGCTTATTTATTTAACATCACATCTCGCATAAACAAAATGTAATACTTGGGAGTCAGATACACAAAAGATCAGGTTTAGACGTCACTACTGGGTAATAACCTGTTTTTGGCATTGCTGGGTTATTGGTTTGCATTTAAGCTGGTACATCATGTTAATTCCGCTGATTTTTTTTCTTCTTCAAGTTATTAGCATATCGGCGTGTATGTAAATGTGTTTAATGGCTGAGCTCTCTTGCTCTTTTTTAAATGACTGGTGAATGCCGTATGTTTTCTCGTCCGTTATACATCTTAGTACCGGGCCTTCTTTTGCAGCGTGTGGGTGTATGATTAACTGTGTCATTCTTCTCCCTTAACAACTGCTTGCTTCTTTGCTTGAGCAGCCGAGAATGGCTACTAAATGTTTAATGCCTAAGCGCACAATGACATTTAGCCTGTGTGTTTTCCCTGCAAAAAAAGAGTTGTTCATCCTTTTGCGTTAAATGAAATTACTCGCATCGCAGAGATGCATTCTGTGTTTTCCTCCACCTTAAAGCATCAAAGGTGGTGTGGCAGGGCTGATGGAGGGGTTTCTTCATAGAGTGTGTTGTAGCAGATCAGTTGGCGTGTGGTGGCTGCTGAATGTTTGACGGGGCTTGGGTAGGCATGTTATTTAATCTGCTCGCATGATAGAATTGGCTGGTGTTACGTCGCGCACTTCTCCTCCGTCTGCTGAGAGAGGCCTCGACAGTGTACGCCGCATCCGTAACGCTGGCCGAGCTATGCGACGTTATGCTTAATGAATTGGAGAAAGGGCAGAGGTAATTAACGTCACGTTTTGCATCGCATTGTGGGAAAACCTCTAGCAAAACGCGTGATTGACTGAAAGCTTATTATTAGTCTAAATTTGTTTCTGAAAGAGATTTGAGAACAGCTCAGATTGTTTTGAATGGTTGCCTCGAGCGTTTTCAGGTTGGGCTTTGTCTCGGTGAACTTGTAGGTAGACTCTCCTTTGTTTACAAGAATGTGTTGGCACTTTCCCCTTGATAATAGATACAGTAACCACAGGCGCCTTGCTCATAGCCCTAGTGACAAAGAGACCTGACACTGTCAAACTATAAACAGCCCAAGCAGCTGAGTTGTCTGAATGCTTCTACAGCAGCAAGTACTAAGAGCAGATTGATATCTGTCTGGTAATAGGCTCGTCTTTGTTCGACTCATTCCTCGGGCTTCACGGGTACACGGTATGGTGTTTCAGCGACACTCTCTTTGTCTTATTTGTTGTGTTCATTCCATCGTTTATTCAACCCGTGCCCAGGTGGTTGATTTGTAGATGATGAATTTAACCTGATAAACTCTGATCGGTCGGCTTGTGCATTAAATGTGCATCTTGGGTGAGAATCGGCCTTGTTGATGTCAAATAAATGTAAACCTGAGGAGCGTGAGAAGTTAATGGTTATAATTGAAATTGATATTTTTTTAATAAGCCCTAAAGCAGCTGAGCCCTTTGCTCGAGATGTTTCGCACATGTTAAGTGAGAGGGGACATCTGGACCTGTTAATTCAGCACATGGTCATAAAGTGAGGTTGGGGGTCCCATAGGTCCCACTGTTTTCCTGCTCTTTTAGGGATGTCAGATGGAGTCTTTTATGCCTGCAGTGCACACCCGTACTTGTATTCACATTGTCCTTGTCCTTGTAGAGAAACACTCTCTGTGGTGATAAACATATTATAAAAATGCAGTCCTCACTCAAGTGCTTTCATCTTAAAGTATGTTGAGTTGAAGCATTTCTCGCTTAGAAAGGACATACATTTGTTAGACTGCTGGAATGGAGCACAATCTGTCCCGCAACGATTCATAAATATCTTCATTTTTTGCTATATGTGTTATGGAAATTCTTTCATTATTTTACTCATGGTCATGCCACTCCTACTCGGTATTGTTATCTTTCATACATGAATCACAAAGGGAAGCAGAGTGTAAGTAGGCAGTTTGTCCATACAATGAAAATTGATTTTTTTTAAATGCCAAGCTCAAAAATACAAAAGTATCATAGGTTGCAAGTCAGAAGTTTAATTCTATCACAATACTGTGATTAATTGTGGTGGACACGCACTCAAGATCTCTATCATGCTACACTGTTAGTAAAGGCCAGCTGAACCACATCTATCTTAAAAACTATAGGCACAGAAAGGTACTATTTTTAGC